GCAATCTTTGGCAATCAATCAAGTAACATTTTTTTTTGATAGAATTAATTTGACCACAAAGATTGCTTTTCTTAGAATGATTTTAAGAAATTAGATATTCTAAGTTATACAATAAAGTTCTTGTTATTTTTAAGATATAGGCACTTTTTTGTAAAAAGAAATTTATTTATCTTTAATTCAGCTTGATTTCTTATTCTTTCGTAATAAACTTGCATTTGCTAATAATAATGTAACAACATTTACAAAAGTACCATATAATAAAAAGGAAAACTCGTTACAAGGAAAGTATTTGTCCAAAAAAAGAAGTCCTAAAAACCCTTGAGATTAGATCCAAAAAGTTTTAAAACAAACTGTATTTTCTAAATGACAAACATTAGATCGTATTTTAATGATCCAGTGATTAATAGACAAATTATTTTATCGTTATTTCTAGCCATTCAAGGTTTTAAACATACCTACTGGGGTTACGAAAACTTTACTCCTCTTGAATTTAACTTGTTTTGGGCTATAGTGGAAGGCACTATTTGTTTATTAATTTACTTATTGGCAATAGAAGGAATTAACCCACAAAATTTATTCGTTTTTTTCCTTGGAACAACCTTGTTTAACATTTTATTAACTGGTTGGGTATGTACTTAGCGTTTTGAACTTAATAGTTTATAATTTAAAGGCTTTTGATTCTTTCGAAGTTCCTCAAGGTTTTAGAGAAAGTTCCTATACCCAAAAATCGAAATATAACTCTGGTAAATGCAATTTGTTTTTTATATCTTATCTTTTCAGCTAAGCCAAGCGGCACGAACATTGCTGGTAGCTTCAAAGTCCACGTTTTGCCGCCTACAATTGCAAAATTAAACCCAAATAAAACTCATTATTGTCTATCTGAAGATAATCCTACCATTGAAATTCCTTTACAAATAAAAGGGAATCCTCCTTGGTTTATTGATTACGAGAGAATAGATTTTGATGGAAATATTCATTCTTATGTGAATATTCCAGTTGGTCCAAAAGTTTCTGAAGAAGAAAAATTGTTGCACTCTCCGAAAACCAGAAAAATTTTGTACCATCAGTTAAAAGTACATGAAATTGGGTTTTACAGAATAAAACAAATTAGAGAGGATACTGATGGTATGGATAACAGTGGAACGGTAATTCCCTCCTGGAGTAAAGTTGTTAATTGTTCAAGCATGAAGTGGAAATTCTCCTCTGGTTATTCCCAACCTAATACTTTTAATGGTTGCGTTGGATCATCTGTTACTCAAATCTTAAAAGTTAAAGGAACTCCTCCATTCAAAGTTTGGTACCTGAAAAAAGTTGGAGCAGAAGAAGATATAAAACAAGTGGATATTGAGGCGCCCTCGGAAATGAAGTCGGTAGATCTAGGAAAATTTAAGGAGAAAGAACTTCCGGATGATCTACTTACTTTGCTTTTGAAATCTCAACCAGTAGAAATAGAACACGAAGTACAAGTGGATTTACAGCAAGCTACTACATATTTACTCCGATTGTTTCAAGTGCAGGATGGATACAATAATGTCGTCACATATGCCAAAGATATGGAATCCCACTTATCAAAGTTTACTGCGCCCATTAATGGAGCTGATGTTAGAGTTTCTCGAAAAGGTAACTTAAACTATAGTTGCTATTAAAATTCCTTAGGAGACTATCTCGTTGTTAAATCTCACAACTATCCTACTGCACGTTTTCAAAACTGTGATTCAATTAAATTTATAGGGTCCTCTGCTAATTTAAGTAATTGTGAATAACTGGATATAATTTATTTTATTTTTTTTTATTTAGCTGTGAGAATGGAAGGTGAAGTTCCATTTTTTGTGGATTATGTAAGATACAATAATATGGAAGATTTCAAGAATGACGTTAGTGGAGAGCCTGGCAACTTTACTGAAATGCAAAGTAATATTGAAGTAAAGCAATCTGGTATTTATGCCTTAAAGAAGATTTCTGATAAATTTTGTACTACATCCCTCCCGCCAACTTCCTTTTGTAGCGTTGTCAAAACCCTTCCACCATCGGTTAGTATTTCTTTTTATTTTTAATTTAATTATAATTTTAGATTAACATATCATATGTTCCAATTGAAGCCTCTTGTGTTGGTGCCATTGGAATGGCTGTTAATATATCACTACACGGTGAAGCTCCATTCTGGATTGATTATGAACAAAAATCCGGTAAAACGGTACTCAAAAAGAAAGAGCACATAAAAAAGTCTAGACATACTTTAGAATTGAAGCCTTCAAATCCTGGGAAATACTGGTATACAATTACTGCAGTAAGATAAACCTGTTGTATTTAAAAATCCGGTAAAATTTTTTTCTAAAGGTTGGAGATAAGAATTTTCCCGAAGGAGTCGAAGTATTTGATAAAAGTTTTACCCAGACAATACACCCGCAATCGAATGCGTCTTTTATTACAAATAAACTTACAAATAGTCATCGATGCGTAGGAGATAACTTTACTTTAGATGTAAAGTTAACTGGCTCCAAGCCATGGACACTAAAATATGATATTATGTTTGAAAATAGTAAACCTATGTTTACTGTTGAAAATATACACACCGATACAATTTCAATTACAACTCCAATTTTTCTTAAAGGAGGAACGTATGTTGTTGGTAAGGGTTGCATTTTAAATCTCAACTAAACTATTTAAAAGCTCTTAGTGAAATCACCGATGGTAACGGTTGTAGTTGGGCACTTGATTCACCAGATTATGCTATTGAGGTCGCCCCGCGAAGACCAACTGTTTCTTTTAAAGATAACAGACCTGTGTTAGCTCTGGAAGGAAAGAAAACTCAAATTCCATTAGAACTTGTAGGAAAACCTGAATTTCTCTTGAAGTACCAGGACCCTTTTGGCAGGATCATTGAAAAACGCTTTAAAAAACAAGGCACCTCTTTTATTGAGGTTTTATATTTTTATTTTTTAACACTTGTATGCCTAACTTGCACTTAATTTTACAGGTGGATAAACCAGGAACCTACATGCTATCATCTGTTAATGATGCATATTGTAGTGGAAATATTATGCTGACTCACAATCAAATTGAAGGTATTAATGTAACTACTATCCGTTTTATTAATTTTCTGCGAAAAATTTCAGTTAAAAAGATCCCTAAACCTGTTATTAGGCTATCAAAAGTAGAAGACAAATATTCTTCTGACTTTGTATTATATAAGAGAAATCCAATATGCGAAGGAACACCAACCTCGGTTCAACTTGAATTTGAAGGCAAACCACCTTTTAAATATCTGATAAAAAAGAATTTTTTTGATAAAACTGAGGAATTACTTGAAACGGTAGGGGGACAAAAATCAGTACTGAATTTGCCAAGTGAAAAAGCAGGTCATTTATCTTACGAAATTAACAAAATAAGCGATGACAATTACCGACAATTCATTGAAATTGAAAAAAAAATTCTGATACATCAAGAAATTCTAAAAACTCCTAACGCTAGAATATTAGGCGGACCATTAATTGCGTTTAAATGTGTAGGTGAGCTTCCATTAGACCAGCAATTACCTTCACATCAAGAGAAGAAAATTAAGGAAAATTTTATTGAATTTGAATTTGAAGGCAACCCACCATTCAACTTGGACATAGAAATAAAAAATGAAAATGGAAACTCATTGAAAAATGTAACTTTGGAACCTATAAAGGAAAAAAACTTTAAATTTACTCCAAACATAATGCAATCCGGAACTTACACGTTGTTACTGAAAAGTTTAACAGATAAAACAGGCTGTAAAAGAAACTTTGAGAAGTATATTTTAAGGGAACAGAGCGGATTTCATTTTGGTGCCACTCTGGTAAAATTTACAGTAAGTGATGTTGCCAGAATTAGAAGTATTTATGCTCCGAGTGATGGTAATGGCGTTATACTTTTATATTAATTTTTTGACAATTGTTTTAAATAGTTTGTCGCCAAGACATTTTAACATATTCACTGGAAGGTTCTTCCCCTTTTAAAGTTTTTTATACTTTCGAAAATGAACTAAAATCTTTTCCCGTGTCAGAAAATGTTTTTAGTGTTGCAGCAGAAAACAGAACAGGTGTTTTTCACATAAAACAAGTTTGCAATAAACTGAACTGTTGTACAAAAATAGAGGATTTTGTTACTACAGTTTGGGATTGGCCCACTGCGACAATTGGTGTGTTTATTTCATTTTCAAAGTTAATTCTTTTTTTTTTTATGTAGGTGAAGGAAAAGACGAGGAGATAGATATAAGAGAGGGAGATGAAACTGATATTCATGTGAAACTAGGAGGAACAAAGCCATTTTCTTTCACTTACACTATAAAAAAATTTAATGGAAACAGCGATGAATCAGTAGATGTTACTGGTATAGATGATTATGAGGTGAGTTTAAATACTTTAGTATTTGTAAACAAAAAGGTTTATTTTGAATTATAGTACATAATACGAACCTCTCAAGAGGGCTTATACAATGTTACTGCAGTTTATGATTTTCACTGTAGTTACCCAAGAAAAAAACATCAAAGCTTAGATGGAGTAAATGAAAAAATTGATCGTCTCGTAGAAAAACCAAAAAAAAACGATTAATGTTTTAATAATAATTGAAAAATTCTCACTCTGAAACCCACAAGTTTATGATACTCTTTTCTTTTCAAAAATGCTATTATTAGTTTAATGTTTAATAAATAATAACTAAAAATTTTTTACAAATAATTTTCTTAAGTATAAAAAAATTCTTTTTTTTTTTTAAATTAAAATTTGAAAACAATATGGTTTTTTACATTTTATCAAAATTCTTTGTTTATATTTCTCATTTGAAAAAATTATTTTCATATTATTATTTCTTTTGACTTCTGTGTGGACGTGTCTTGAGTGAATTTGAATTTTTATTTTAGATAAAGTTGCGAACTGTATATCGACAACTATTTTCAAGGCAATTTTGTTGCATGTGATATTTGGTAAGTTTAAATTTTATTCATTTAAAATTGTCATCTAAAAAATTTTATAAAATGCCCTAACAAGGGATCGAACCTTGGATCTTTGCTTTACGAGAGCAACGCCGTACCACTTGGCCACTAGGGCAATAGTTCCTGTTAAAGGTTTTATGATAGTTGTTTTAATCAATTAGCTTTGGTACATAAACCTAGAAGTCGTTACACAACTGTCTTTTAGATTATTTTATAACGACTTTAAACTATAATATTAATAATCCACGAACAGGATAACATTCCTTCATTTAACAAGTAACCTTAGATAATTATTATTATAATAATTATCTAAGGTTACTTATTACTTAACAGTTATGTTAAAGGTTTTATGATATTTGTTTTTAATTAATTAGTTTTAGTATATAAATCAACTTCAAAAAAAAAAAAAAAAAAAAAGGATTTATTATTTATTATTACGGTTGTTATTCTTATAATCCTACTTTTCTGGAGCATGTGGAAGATAAAAGCATTCGTAATATAACTATTGATAACTTTTAGATTTCCATCAAATTCAGCTAAAATTATGATTTATAATGATACAATTTTTTATTTTGCAATTTGTACTCTAATATTGTTATCTAGGCACTTCTCATCTTTTTAAAATCTGAATAGAAATACATAAACTAAATATATATAAAAAAAAAAAAAACAAATATCATAAAACCTTTAACGGTTACTTGAACTTCTTTGTTATTTATTATCATAAAACTATTAAGATAATTTTGAATTTTTTAAACCATCTCAATTTTTTTTTTTATTTTTTTTTTTCCTTCATTGTGTTTCTTTTTTTTTTTTTTGTTGATTAAATATATATAAAAAGAAAAAAAAAAAAAGAGATGTTTTTCAAATTTATATTTATATATAATCTATTTTTTTTCTTTGTTTCCATATTCTAATTGTATACAAAAAATAAAAATAAAAAAAAAAATGAAAAAAACAAAAAAAATTTTTTTTTTTTTAAGCTTGTTGAATTGCATTAGCAACTTTTAAAAGATTTCCTTCCGAAAGATACTTTTTATCGATTACAACATCAAAGACGTATTCATTAAACCAAGCGTCATTCATAACTTCAAACCCGCCAGCTCCATTTCCTCCTGCATGTCTACCAGTAGTTTCTAAAACAGCACCCCATGAGTTTTCAACTCTCCAACGGAGGGGTTTTTGGTCAGAATCTAAGTGTACTCCTGTAAATACCATCTAAAAATTAAAAAAAAAAAAATGTATTATAAAAAAATTTAAATTGTTTATTTTTTTTTTAAATTTACTTCATGATTAGCATACGATTCCTTGTAAGTGACACGATCTAGTCTACTCATAGCAGTTGGGGTCAAATCAAACGCAGCTTCATAGTTGAATAGGTCCATATCCATAGTGTTTTTACCATAAAATTTATGAACTAAAAAAAAAAAAACAATAAAAAAATTAAAACTACCCCTTTTTTAAAAAAATTTAATTCACCATCACAAGCAAAAGTTGCAGGGTCATTATTCTTCAATTGAACGATAACGGCTTCTTTTAGGACTTCAATTGGTACATTGACATTGTATTCTTTGGTACCATAGATAGTGCCATCTTCTTCTTTTTTTTTGAAAAATTTATGTCTAGGGTCGTGAGTAAGGTTTACTTTATCAATAACATCCTTTTTGATATGTTCTTCGTAAAATGACTTTGGAGTCAAGTTTTCAAAGGAATGGAAGTGTCCTTTTGTGCAGCGGAATTTCCAGTCAAAAGATTTTGGAGGTTCACCTTTTTTTTTGTATAAAAGTTAAGAAAAAAAATACAAAAAAAGTTTTTTTAAAACCTAAACAGGTTACGATGATTCTGTACATTGCGTTCATCATCTTTGCTTTAACTTGTAAAATTTCTTCAGGACTCTTTTCACCAGCATGTATAAGTCTACGCAAAGTGACACCATATTCACGAATCTTGTTAGTCAATAACCAATCCATTTCGGTTGAATTTTCTGAGTGATATGTTTCAGGGAAGGCAGATTTTGGACAGATTCCATATTTTTCAACCAAAGAAGCTGATTTTTATAATGATAAATTTAAAAAGATTTTTAAATAAATATATAAATATTATTTTTTTTGTTCTTTACCAACAGTATTCCAGGTACCGCCATCTTGCATAGGATCAGAAAATAGTTCTTGAACAGCATTGGAGGTTTCATTTTTATCAGCCAAGTCAATGGCTTTTTGTAAAAAGGAATTAGCTTTTTCCAGTTTATCATAAAAGAAGATGAAATTTTGGGATAATTCAAATTCCTTTAGGTGAAATCTTTTCATGACGCCAAGTCTAATAGTGTTGGTTGAAGCAAAGATCCAGCATCTACCAGATTGTTTTTGATTAGTTACGTTTCCTTCCAATTTTATTTTAATTTCAAATTCTCTTTCGTTTCTAATAAGAGCCTGTTATGTTGAAAAAAAAAATTAAGTATAATAATATATAACGTTTTATTTTTACGTCGTTATTTAATAATACGGTTTCCATCTTGGCCTAAAATAAAAAAAAAAAGATTGTTAAAAGAAAAAAAAAAAAATTAGATCTAAGGTTAGAAAAGGTTTTTACTTGTTTTATAACAGTTTGGGCAAGTTCATTTTTTGGGTTAGAGTTATAATGTTTGCTGAAACTGTCAATCGCAGATTGGGTAATTGATTTTTCAATAATTTCAGGATGTAAAAAAGACTTGTCGCCATCAACTTTTTCTTTGTACTTTGGAGGAAGCTCTGTGGTTGAATAAGGGACCTCTACGGTACTCTTTTGATTTTTATTTTTTTTGAATATTTTGTTAAATGCTGTTAATAATCCCATTTTTTTTTTTTTTTTTTTAATTAAATTATTTTTTTAATTTTTTTTTTTTTTTTTGGTTTGTTAAGTATTCTTTTTTTCCCCCTTTTTATAAAATAAAAAAAAAAAAAAAAATAAATAAATTTGAATGCAATATATAAAAAAAAAAGGAAAAAATAATTTAGAACATTAATACTCCTTGATTACAAGTTAATTAAAAATAATCCACAAAGAAATTTTTTTTTTATTTTATTACTGACAAAAAAAATTAAAACAAAATTAATAAATAAATAAGAAAATTAATGGAACTTAACCAAAAAAAAAATAAAAAAAAATTGACAGATTTTCAAGTTACAAACTAAAAACAACAGAATTTAATGTAAAAAAGTACAAGTTAGTACAGTCAACAAATATGTACCCAGAAAATTTGTTTAACGAAAACTTGAAGATTGCGGAAAAGAATTTAAAATTTAACCATTTGTTTAACTTTTTTGATAAGGGAGTTTTATTTGTAAATTTGGAGTTTGTTATTTTTGGATTCTTTTTTGAAGTAAAAAAAATATATAGTTCTTTGAAACACAAACTTTTTTAAACTTAGTAATTAATTTTTTTTTTTTTTTTTTTCACACAATCAGAGTGAGCCAATTCCCTTATATAACTTACGAAAACCAGTCAATTCAAAGGATTCGGAGTTCCCATCAGTGCATTTTCTAAGCAACGATTTGGTACTTGTATACAATGGAGTTGACAGCTTGCAACTGGTATCATTTGATTTTGAAACCAGGAGCATGAATTTTCAAAGTGAAATTGATTTAAATTCAATAGCTCAACCGTTTACAATCTGTACTACTTTTTACGACGAAAAATTGGATGTTTTAAAATTTTGTGTTTGCTTAAAAAAAAAAAATTTAAAATTTTTAAAAAGTAAAAATAAAATTTACTTTGAATACCTGGTCTTGGAGATAACAGACTTGAACAAAAGTAGCTGGGAAGGAAAGTGCTTAATTTTAAATGTGAAATTTCAATTAAACAATTTTAGTTTTTTTAAATCATGTTTGATAAATAATAATTTTATAAAATTTTTAACAAATGAAAAGTTTTTCGAAACTGAATTGAAGCAATCTAAAAGCATTAGCGAAAAAGTTAATGTTTCGGATAACAAAAAAAATTTTGTTGGATTCAATTACTTATATTTTCAAAATGATGAAAACATTAGTATACAATATAACTTGGGAAAAAAAATATATATAATTAACAACGTGAAGGTGCAATTTATTAACAGGTCATTTAGAGTAACAATCGAGGATTCAGTAAACAACTCAGAGATCATGGTTGACTTTGATAAACCGTTGTTTGAATTTATTGATCCCTCTAAATGCTCATTTGTGTTGGAAAAAAATCAGTTTTTAACAATTTATTTAGAAAAATTAAAAAAAAATTTAAAGTGGGATTACTTATTTGAAGTGGAAGATAAAAAGTTTGAAACCAGTGATCCCCAGGAATTTAGTAAAATTCAAGAATTGGAAGAAATTGAAGCATTTAATCCATTTCAAAATACTAGTTTAAACGACGTAGTAATGGAAAATGAAGATATAGAAACCGATCAAAAAAGTTCGGTTATTACTTGCTTCAGTTTAAAGGATGGAAACGTGGTTTCCAGCTTTGATACCAATTTAGATTATATATGTAGCAGTTTAGAGTTTGGTTCCAATGCAGTATGCTTGAAGTATGATGAGGTTGATGGTGTGATTGCAGACACATTAAATTTTGAAAATGAAATTGATAATGCGGATCAAAAAAAATCGTTAAAGCACGTTGGATTGATTTCAGCTTTTTCGTTTGTAAGGTATATAAAACAAAAAATTTTTTTTATTTTAATAAATTTAAAAAAAAAAAATTAAATAAAAAAGAGCAAGTAAAAATAAAAAACGATTTACATACTTTTCAGATAAGTTTGGAATAATTTTAGAATTTAAAAGATACTGTTACTTTTTTGAAATAAACAAAACTGAAAAAAATAAAAAAATTTTAGATCAATATATTTTTGATTTTAACGATTTAAAAGAGATTAGATATGAAAATGACAAGGATGGAGCAATTGAAACCAGTGAGGAAGAAATTATTGGTATCCAAATTATTAAAGGAGTTTTTGTTTTTTTGAGAAGTTTTAGTTTAATTGTTTTAAAACTGTAAAAAGTTTAAAATTTAGTTACATATATATATATATTATGTATATGTTGACAAAAAAAAAATTAGATTATAATATATTTTACATATATATATATTAAAAAAAAAATTAATTAAAAA